ACATTCGACAACAGGGATTAGATACATACTTGGTTGTTTAAAATGTTCTTCTATGCTTAATGGGTTCCTAATGCTTAATTTTAGGTTAGACAACAAATGATCAAATTAGGGAATTAGGAACACAAGGTTATGACCACACACCATGGCTTAATCATACTTTAGCTAGAATCAATCCATTAATCTAATTGAACTTGGGAACTTATCTGCTTGAGTTAGTTATTTCTTTCTTCCTTGTTTTATTTATTTCCTTTCTTTTTCATTTCTGTTTTGTGTAGGAAAAATGAATTGGATCATTCAATCACCAATCCTCGTGGGATCAACCTCGCACTTACATATGCTATACTACCAAACGGCTCGTGCACTTGCGAGTATCACAAGTTGAGGATGCAACTGAATCCATTTTGGTGCAGCTGTATCTACGCAACACATATATATAGAGGTCCCTTTCGTAGCAGTCAAGACACACTCATATTAATAACTCACCCCATCTAGAGAAAGTTAAAGGACTGCATAGGAGAAGAATATTTCTATACCTTCACCGCAACCATTTTTTACCAAAGTTAGTGTTAGGTTATTCTGGGGAGAAGCATCGAAAACAGAAAATTATATATTGAATAGAGTACCTACTAAACATGTAAAGTTGAAGCAAAATCATACAATCCTATGGAAAAGAAGTTGGATTCAAGAACAGTCAGTGGCTATTTTGTTGGCTATCCAAAAAGAACTAAAGGCTACAGATTTTACTACCCTCAAAATATAACCAGATTTGTAGAAAATGGTGACACAGTGAATTCTAATGCAGATAACAGAATTCTTGTGTTACCTAGCTTTGACTTGAGTAGCACGCAATCTGTACAGGAAGATGAAATAGTTGGAGATCCAATGATACTTGAACAAGAAACTCAAGAACAACAAGTTCTGCCACCAGAAAACACAAATGAAAATCAACCAGCAGAACAAAACCATGAACACATGGACATAGAGTTAGGAATATCACAAAGACCAAGGAAAAGAGCACTACCTGATGACTACTATGTATATTTACAAGAATCTAAGTATGATGTGAATGCAATTGAAGATCCCATTAACTATATGCAAGCAATGTCCAATGAGAAAAGTGAAAACTGGTGGGGAACTATGAAATCATAATTAACACTATGGAGAAAGATGGTGTGTGGGAACTAGTGAACTTGCCACAAAATTGCAAACCTATAGGCTGCAAATGGGTTTTCAAAACCAAGAGAAACCCTAAGGGACAAATTGATGGATATAAGGCAAGACTAGTTGCCAAAGGATACACACGGCAAGAAGGGATAGATTACAATGAAATCTATTCACCAGTTTCAACTAAAGACTCATTTAGAGTAATCATGGCATTGGTAGAACATTTCGATTTACACTTACATCGAATAGATGTAGAGACTGCATTCTTGATTGGAAATCTAGAAGAGGGAATATATATGAAACAACCAGAAGGTTTCATTCAAGAGAAGGGAGAAAATCTAGTATACTGTGTAAATTGATTTATGGTCTTAAGCAAGCTTCTAGATAGTGGTATATCAAATTTGATAAATTTGTTAATCAATATGGTTTTGACAGAAAATTCATTGGATGAATGCAATTACATGAAGAAGAGTGGCAGGAATTTCATCATATTGGTATTATATGTGGATGACATCTTATTGGCATGCACAGATTTATCAATGTTACATAACTGTAAGGAATTACTGTCTAAACATTTTGAAATGACTGGTGAAGCATCCTATGTTTTGGGAATTGAAATTAGCAGGAATCGAGAGAAATGGGTTCTTGGATTATCACAGAAGAATTATATAAAAAAGGTACTACAGAGATTCAATATGCAAGGATGTGGTGGAACTGATATGCCTATTTCAAAAGAAGAAAATTTGAGCAAGGAACAGGCACTAAGGACTGAATAAGAGAAAATTTAGATGAATGACAAACCTTATGCCTCCTTAATAGGCAATCTTATGTATGCACAAGTCTGCACTAGACTTGACATAGCCTTTCCTATTAGTGTGCTAGGTTGATTTCAATCTAATCCTGGACAAGATCATTGGATTGCAGGCAAGAAAGTGTTGAGATATTTACAGAGAACCAAATATTACAAATTGGTTTTAAGAAAAAGTAATAATTTGAAATTAGAAGGTTTTGCAAATGCTGATTTTGCAGGTTATAAGGATGATCTCAGATCAACATCACAGTATGTGTTCATATTTGCACGTGTTGTTGTATCATGGAGAAGTATCAAGCAACCTCTCACAGTTGCATCTACAATGTTAGCTGAATTCTTCGCCTCTTATGAGGCTATTTCTCAAGCTATGTGGTTAAAGAATTTTATCACTAGATTGAGTGTAGCTGAGTCTATACATAGACCCATACAACTATGGAATGACAACAGTGCAGCAATTTTGTTTGCAAAGGGAAACAAAAGGACAAAGGCTTCAAGAATTCTGGATGTTAAGTTTCTGATCCATAATTTAAGTCCTTTTAGTCTATAGAGTTGCTTTTGGGATTTTTGACCTCTAAAACTCAATTATCTTCATTCCAACTTCTATTATATAGCTTTATCCTTCTAGGCTCTGTATTTTGGGACTGTTTGGGATGCTGGACAACAACTTGTTGCCGCTTCGCTGCATCAGAAGTGATGATTTGATATGATGTTAATTGGTGTATTTTTTCATGATATTTTTTTGAGTGTGTAAAACAACGTTGCTTGACTGGCACATTACATAATCTATTCTCTGAGCGGTGGTTTGATCATCCCTCACCCTTTTAATTTTTTTTCCTAGATGAATTAGTGGTAGAGTCAATGACTAAACCAGTTAAGGTTGAATTATATGATAATGATAAATCTTTATTTAATTCTAGTATTTTTGTAAGATTTTGGAGTTATTTTATAAGAGAAATTTATTCTGATCCATAGTTTAAGCTCTTTTAATTTATCTTTTATTTATCACACACTCGGCTCTAGATTTCTACTCTAGTCTACCCCAGATTCGGAGCGCGACACATTAATTAATGAATTTATGATATAAAAGATTCGTTTATCTTTTTATTTTATTTTTTAAAGACAACGACATAACATTTTCAACTCAAAGAAGAACAATCCTAAAATCTGGTTGTTGTTAATTAACTAGGGTTAATTATCGAACTTCATTAAATTATTTAATTATACACGGATTCAGTTATTGTTAAATTATTAAATTATGTATCCTTAAATTCCTTCACACGTCGCATTTCAAAATACCAGAAAATGCCCTTGATTAATTCAAACATTAAGAATTGAAATTATAATTAAATGAGGATAATATGGTAAATTCACAATTAAAAAAATTAAAATTAAAAACAAAATCAGATAATGAATCCTACTTTTATGGAAAATATCTACCCATTTTTTCTTTTCTTAATTCTAAAAACTAAAAAAGAAAACCAATTGGCAAGGGGCTTAGTAATTTACTCATGCGATTTCAACCTCTCGAGCTTCATCGTCGCCATTATCCAGATCTGAGGTAAATCGGAGGTACCAATCTCGCTCAAATTTCCCAGTATCACTTACTAAGCATCCTTCTATTGTGTTTGTGTTAGATGGTTTTGTTGAATACTGAAGCTTTTTAGTACAGGAAATGGCTCCTGCTGCGCCCAAGAGCGGGATCTTCGTTGGTCTGAACTCTGAACAAAGGCCACATCGTCACCAAGCGTGAATTGGCTCCTCGCCCATCTGACCGCAAAGGGGTATGTTTTTGTTTGGTCACTGATTGTTCATACAAGTTTATTTGATTTCTGGGATTGTCTTTATATTCTTTTGTTGTTTGGGTCTTGATTTTGTGATGAAGTAGTGTGAATAATACTAAAATTTCTATGCTTTGTTGGTTTTGATATTGAAGAAAAGAAGCAAGAGGGTGCATTTCGTGAGGAACCTGATTACGGAAGTTGCTGGTTTTGCTCCATATGAGAAGAGGATCACTGAGCTTTTGAAGGTTGGTAAGGACAAGCGTGCTCTTAAGGTGGCCAAGAGGAAGTTGGGTACCCACAAGAGAGCTAAGAAGAAGAGATGTCCAAGCCCTCGCTGTGTGTTTGATATGTTTTCATATGGCTTTTGCATTTTTGTGTTATAGTCAATTTATTTGGTTGTGTTTTTCTTTGCCCTTTATTTCATAAGTGGTGGAGGACTGGATTGAAGTATTTTTTGAATATGTTAAGACAAATGTGTGAAAAAGGAGTTAAACCAGCTTGAGTTAAAGAACCTCATGTTATTTGGATGGCGTAAATGCGCATAAATATTATCAAACTCAATGTTACGAATTAGTTTTGGTACCATTGCAATCAATATCAAAATTTGTTTGTAATAGAGTGGTTTTTGGTGTCAACTCTGTTTTTGTGTGCCATGTTTGTAGCATTTGAGTTAGTTTGCTCGTCCGGCGAATGGAAATCTGTTTCTGATTCTTTTTTCAGCTATTTAATTGGACTAACATATTGTATGATGAGAGTAGCTTGTTTTTGGGGAGCCCAACTTTTCATTTTCACATTGTCTTTGGTGGTTTGATTACGTTACAGGATTTATATGCTGTTTGTGTTGGTTGTGTAATTGTTCATGTGCAGGTCTGGTGGTGTTACTGAGAAGAAGTGAGAACTTGAAGTGTTGTGTTAATGATTTCCACCATCTATTTTTGCTCTAGTTGTTCTAGTTGTTGATCGTCTTGCGTACATTTAAATACATGGCAACAATGCATAAGAATATGCTATAATCAGATATATGTTTACATTTTGTTGGATTTGGGCATTATCAACAAAGATCTGTTTTGATTTCTCCCTTTCTCCTTTTACTTGAGGTTTTTTTAATTCAATTTTGCTTAGGCTGCATGCAGTAAGTGTCATTGTTCCTCTTCTCCTCTTGATTCGTGTAAGTGTCATTGTTCTTATTTCACATATTTTAAACTATAAATTGGGGCCTTTGTTGTTTGCAGGTAATAATAATACAGTCAGAATACTGGGGGTGGGAGATGTTTCGGCTCTGCTTGTTGATGGTTACAGTACAAGGTTTACTGGGCTTCATCATGTTGTTGGTATCTACTATCTAGTGTTTCATATTTTTTTAACTGTAAAAGGGAGGCTATTTTTGTCTTTTCTGTCTATAATGAAATACAAATGCATTGCAATTTCTCCACTTTGTTTTTTGAGAACATTATAGTGAATCCGTATTTTTTGTAAATGATTGAATTCCAATTGTATTACTCTATTTTTTTTATTGTGCAATGGGCAATAAAGTAAAGTGTAATTTCTAAAATCAACATCAGCACTCTATGAGAACCGAAGCCTATAATAACAAGGGTCAATAATATTTGTAGAAAGTAAAACCATTTGTAGGCTTTCCACTTCACCATAAACATAAAAAATGAAGGCGTAAACCATACGTTGCCACAACAGTAGTATTTTTTCTGATGTGGTAAGTCATAACACACATCAGTATAATCAAAACTCTTGATGCTATAATAAGTATTTAGCATCAGTGCTGATATATTCCCTGATGCTATTAAAGCTCTAAACATCAGAGGTCAACGCTCTTTTTGGCTGTTAAAGCTAGATCATATGCATCAGTTTCGATTCTTGGGTACCTTTAGCAACGGAGATTCTCCGAAGCTAAAGGTCAATTTTCACATAGTGAGTAATAATAATTTTTATTAAAAAATTCAAGGGTATTGTTGGAAAACTGAACACTTTGTCATTCCTAATACTACACCTTATTTCAGTTTTTTCACATGAAATTCTTAGGTACGAAGACAATGAAAATATATATATTTCACGAGATCGATATACTATTTGCATCTATATACATATATCAAATTATCTAATTTCTGTGTGTGTGTGTTTTTTTCAATGGATCAGAGTAAAACCAACAACCATATAGTGCAAAGATAAAAAGTTTCCAAGATGTACGTACCTCTAATATCCTTGTATATGTGTAGTTTCTCCACCAACTGTTATGAGAAACGTAACGTTGAATGAAAAATCACAAGGATGAGGCAATCAAGGAGAAGGCAATACAAACAACTGAATTATGAGAAATATGAAAGCATGCATAAGCAGAGAACTCAAATGGAAAAGCCACTATACACTATAAATAGACAAGGACAAGAAAACGAACCAGCATTGCTTCAAGAGAATAAGGTAATTCCAAGCAAGTCATGTATATATATATATATATATATATTTTTAAACCGAATGATAAATAAATAGTTCCAAGCAAACCCGAATTTCCTAGAATCATCTGATCCAAGGCTTAATTACATACGATGTTTGCTTGTTATATATATAGAAGCATCTCATACCCAAAAGCAAAAAAAAACAAGCCTCTATGCCAAGGCAAAGAAAAGTGAAGAAGAGCTTGACTTAATGGACAAAGTGAAAAAGAATTGGATGCATTGCTTACAAATATGGACAAGAGGGGAAGACTAAGAAAGGATGAAATTATGAAATTTGGGGTTATGGAGGAATCCTTGACCTCTTTTAAGTGAGATTTATGGAGGAACCCTTTACAATAAATCGATTGAAATTTTACATTGGAGTCTAATCCAACTGAGTTCTCCACATAACTAAATGATGAAGGACGTAATTTTTTCCATATCACATTAATAATATTTTAGAATATAGGATCTGACTTAAACTAATTAATCTAATGCTGATCTTTGACTAAAGTTAATTAATCTCAGCCATTTGTCTAATTAAATTTTGTGTGCTTGTGCATTTGAAGGACATTAAACGATTGCCGCGAATTTAATTAATCCTAAACTTTTCTTTTGGTACAGAATTAATTGTAACCATTTTTTAATTTCATAATCTTATATGCATAGATGAATCATAGGGATTTTTAGTTACCCTCTAAATTATATTTTTATTAAGGGTTCATAAGTGATTAACTACTCATGCATATATAACATCATACACATTCTATATATAAACGAACCCTAAAAAATTATGAACTTTTCAGTGGAAAATAATAGAAGTTAATGTATACCAGTCCTTAGAATTCCATCCAAAGAAATCTACCACTTTCGCCAACGCAGATCTCCACTCTTGCACCTTCGTTTTATCATCCAAACTTGAACTCCCCGTTTGTTTTCGTACATGAGATGGATCTGTTGTGCGGAAGCGTCAACCAACTATGAGTGAAAAATAAAAAACAACTGGCAAGAGATAAAAGGAACAAAACAACAACAACAATAAGAATACCAAGATTTATACTGGTTCAGCAATGCCTATATCCAGTTTAGAGACGACAGAGTATTCCACTATAATCAATGAGAACATTCAATAGTATTTATCACTCAATTTCCCAAATACCCAAGTAACCCAAGCTCAGACATTTACAATAGGAAGAGAAAACCGATATTACAAAGCAAAAACAATTTGAGAGAATTTAGCCGAATGGCTTCTTGCTGTTCTCTCCCACTTATTCTTATCCACTTCACATCTGTTATCTCGTATATAGCTCAGCAATATTGCTCTCTATAGTCCAAGAGGCAATATTGCTCTCTAAACCCTCTCTATAGTCCAAGAGGCAAAAGCCAGATACTGATGATGAGAGTGTTGAAACTTTGCTTTCCACCTTATCTGCCAATCAACTTTGCTTTCCACCTTATACTTTGCTTTCCACCTTATCTGCCACTCAACTTTGCCTTGTTGGAAATCAAGATGCGTGGCTGTTATTTTTCCCTCTCAAGAGTCAAGACACACAGGATATACATGCATGGTCAATAATTGATGGCTAAAAAGGAGGAGAAAAATGGGGGAGCTGGGACATTTGAGAAAACAAAAGGTTCCACATGCTTTATAAGCATGAAACCTTAATACTAATTAAATAAAATTGGTGGGCTGATGGGCTTGGTAGTGAAGGCTATCATGGTTGGCTTGCTTGATTAATAATAATATTTAAATAATCAAGACTTGGGTCCTTGGGCCTTGGGGCTCCTAGGCATAATACGATCATTTTTTTTGAAAAATCTCATACTGCTTTAAAATTACATACTGTATTGGAGAGAGAAGCACACCAACGTTCGCCAGAATTCAAGGATCCGGTGTTGGACCCTTGAGTTATAGACAGTTGAATCCTTAGAGATAGACGCCTATCGAACTTCAAGCACTGAAAAAAGGAAAAATTCTGTTTTTAGGACATTGCGAATACGCAAGACTCTATCTTCAATAAAAGTCAGTATTATGTACTTAATTTATATTTGCACATTTATACAATTGGTACCTTCATCTTCCACATATTTTTCCAAATACTACACCTTATTTCAGTTTTTTCACATGAAATTCTTAGGTACGAAGACAATGAAAAATATATATTTCACGAGATCGATATACTATTTGTCTATATACATCAAATACCCCCAAACCTATAATTTGCTAGTCCTCGAGCAAACTAAAATTTAAAAACTAAGCATAAATGAAAACTAACTAAGCCACTTTCGTAGGGATCTCAATTGCATTTAGCATATGCAATAAGCCTTTAAACCTCTAGGTTGCCCTAGTGGACGAGTTGTAGTCTCGTGAGGGTTTTCAGGGATGATACCCACAAACATCTGAAAACCTAAATATATTTGTTAGTAATTGATTTTCTTACAATTTTAGTTAATTAGGTTTGTTTTTCACTTTTGCACTTGCTTACATACCCATTACATAATTGATGATGATTTCATTATTTTATCTTAAGGTTGAAGAAGATTATTGGATGCTAGTAGGCAAATGGAGGCAAGATTTATTAAAAAGATTGCAAGATGCACCACCTTGCCAAAGAGAAGAGAAATGCATGTAAGTGCATGATCAAGTGATGCAAGTGGAATACATATTGAATTCATGAATGGAGGGATTTAATGAATTTAGAATTGTTCCCATTTTCCTATAAATAGGAGGAGCTATGGCATTGTAAAATCACACCAAGCTCCACAACTCTTGAGCTTTCTCTCTTCCCTCCATCTTTCTAAGTTTTAATTTCTGTTTTTAGTTTTATTTTATTATGGGGAACTAACTCCCTAGCTAAGGCTAGGGAGAAAGCTTTTAATATAAGTGTGTAATTTTTATTA